CAGGGTCACCCATTTTGAATAATATTTCATGAGTTCCTTGTTTTTCAATGCAGCGTAGTATTCCATTGTGTGAATATACCACAGTTTCTCTATCCATTCGTCTCTTGATGGGCACTTAGGCTGTTTCCAACTCGTTGCTATTGTGAACAAAGCCACGATGAACATGGGTGTGCATATATCTGCTTGGATGTCAGTTATGGTCTCTTAGGGTATATTCCCAGTAGTGGAATTGCAGGATTAAATGGTATCTTTAATTGCAACTTTTTGAGAAAGCGCCACACCACTTTCCACAGTGTTTGCATCATTTTACACTTCCACCAATAATGTATAAGGGTTCCAGTTTCTCCACAACCTCACCAGCATTTGTTGCTTACTGTTCTGTTAAATTTTGCTATTCTTACTGGAGTGAGATATCTCATGGGTGAGAGATCTCATAGTTATTTTGATTTGCGTCTCTCTTAGAGCTAGGGATTTTGAACATTTCCTCATGTGCTTGTTGGCCATCTGAATGTCTTCTTTGGCGAAGTGTCTGTTCATATCCTATGCCCATTTTTCAATTGGATTATCTACCTTTTCTTGTTGTGGTGCTCATGTATTTTATAAATTCTAGCTATAAGTCCCTTATCTGACATGTCATTACCAAATACTTTTTCCCAGTCTGTGGCTTCCCTTTTTACCCTATTGCAGAAGTTTTTGGATGTGCATATAGAAGGTCCCATTCATCTATTTTATCTTCTCTTGGTTGTAGATTGTTCAGGATACTTGGAAGACTGTTTATGTTGTGGATTAGTACTACTAGATTTCTTCCAAGCTTTTCTTTAATGAAGTTGATAGTCCTTGGTTTTAGTCCTAGGTCCATATCCACCTTGAGTTGGTTTTTTTCTATGGAATGAGGTGTGGGTCTTGCTTGAGTCTTCTGCAGATATTTTTCCAGTTTTGCCAGCACCATTTGTTAAAAAGACTGACATTTTCCCACTTAACTGATTTTAGCTCCTTGTCAAAAATCAGTTGACCATAGGTAGATGGGTTGGTTTCTGGGTTCTCAATTCTATTCCATTGATCTATATGTCTGTCATTGTACCAGTACCATGCTGTCTTAACCACCACGGCAGTGTAGTAGGATTTGAAATCAAGGAGTGAGATGCCTTCTACCTTTTTTCTATTTTTAAGGAGTGCTTTGCTTATTCGGGGCCTCTTTCCATTCCGAATGAAACTGGAGGTTACCTTTTCCATCTCGTTGAAGAATGAGATTGGTATTTGTATTGGGATCGCATTGAACATGTAAATTCCCTTTGGTAGTATTGCCATTTTCACAATATTGAGTCTTCCTATCCATGAGCAAGGGATATTATTCCACTTCTCCAGGTCTTTTTTTGTTTGTTGTAGTAATGTTTTGTAATATTCTTTGAACAAATCCTTTGTGCTTCTGGTTAGATTTACTCCCAAGTATTTAATCTTGTGATTAGCTATGGTGAAGGGTATTGTTTTTCTTAGCTTTAGCTGTATTTTCTTTGTCACTGTAGAGAAAGCCAACTGATTTTTGTATGTTAATCTTGTATCCTGCCACTTTGCTGAATTGGTCAACTATGTCCAATACTTTTCTTGCTGAGTCTTTAGGGTTTTCTAAGTATACTATCATATCATCTGCATAAAGAGATAATTTTACTTCCTCTTTTCCAATTTGGATACCACTTATTTCCCTGTGTTGTCTTATTGCGATCGCTAAGACTTCCAATACAATATTGAGTAGGAGAGGTGATAGTGGGCATCCTTGCTTAGGTCCTATTCTTAAAGGGAATAAGGCATCCCACATTTTATCTTAAATACTTTTACTCATTTAATTTCTGTCAATTTCGAACACATCCATAGCTTACTCTCCAATGGGTTGTTAAGGCTGAAAATTGCATGAGAAGGGATTGTGTTTTTTTCTCCCTCATAGTTGTTCATGGAGAGGCACAGCCTTTGGGTTAGCAGCAGCTTTCTGTGCACTGTGACACTTGGGCTTATTAAAAACCCTTCACACACATGGGGTCACTTTAAGTTGGAATTTGTTTGACCTCAACTGATTTGGCTGTTTGGTTTGAATCTCTTATACCAGGAGGGAGAAAAGAAAATTTTATAAATTCTTATTTTTTAACTTTGTACCTTTTATTGACCAGTTGTTCTAGTGTAATTTTGGTATAATTCCTGAATAACCTTAGAAATTATAAAGAATTTACATATGTACTTGTTTTGTTGCTAATCAAAGTGCTGCATTTATGGCCTTTCGAATCCACAGCTGATCTTTGGAGAAGGCAGTCCCCTTCTCCTTTAATTTACAGCCTTAGAAATCTGATGGAGAATTGCTGTGAGTTGGACTCAACTTGGCAGCAGTACTTTTGTTATGTGTGTGGTTTTGATTGGAGCTTTATTTTATGTTGTGTTTATTTTTTCGTTTTTTAGTTGAGAGTAAGGAAACTTGAACTGATCCTGAAAGTCTTAGCAGTCCCTTACTGACTTCTGGTGTGGATGCAGATTTAGAATTCCTTAAGTTATGAGATACCCTGATAAACTCAGTTCAATATAGTCTGCAGTCTCTGTTAGTTTCCCTTTCAAACCTGAAGCATAAGAATGCAGCTAATACCGTCAGATCTTCTACAGCGAAACTTTGAGGCTTTTAGGAATGTGACTCAGATATAGAGCTCAAGGAAGGTTTTGATTTAGAGGTATAGGAAACTGAGTCTATGTAGAACCTTGTAATTATTAAAAAAAAATTCTCAGTTACAGGTTTTCAAGATTAAATTTTTAAAAATTCCTACTGTATATGGTCCTTTTACCCCCTGCTTTGATTTTTATATGCCAAATATTAATTAAAGCTTTTAGATTTTCATTTATAGTTTGAAAAGTTATTCTTATATTGTAGAATAGTTATGGCTAATAATACTTCTTTTGTTTATTTGATAATTACTTAGGTGTTTAGAATTACATGTAATTTTAATTAAAAAAATTATATACTCTCAAAACTAATAATTTTCAAATTATTAATTCTTTTATCTTTATATTTCATTCAAACAACTGATTTTTAAATAAATATAATTCTTTTTTATAGATATTTTGAACAGAGTTAATCCCAGCTCATATTCAAGGGGAATAAAGAATGGTGCACTCAGTCGAGGTACAGTACTTTTGTACTATTTTAATGTTAAAGTGAAGATTTGATAAAATTGAGTTTAATGGAAATATATTCAGTATGTTGTGTCATTTTAAAATAAAGGTACAACTGTAGCCTTCAAATCCACAAGTCAGCACTACACGAATACAACATCGAATCCAGTGGGTGCCTCATCAGTAAATTTTCGTCCTGAATCTAGATCTTCAGATAGTTCTGCTATTGTTCAGCCTTTGTCTAAACCTGTGAGTATTCATACAGTTACACAGTTGGCGCAGCGATACATTAGATACCATTTATCAGTAACAATAAAAATTTGGAAGTGTTTAGCTGTTAATTCCAGTAGCAGCATAGTTAAGAAAAGAAGATACCTTTTTTTTTTTTGGTTTGTTTTTGTTTTTGAGCTATTGTTCTTTTAATCAGTATATAATGCCCTTC